GCTTCGAACAGAGATATTGAGGTCTGAATGTAGAGCGCTACCCAAAATAGACGTTGCGTTGTGAGAATGTACGTTAAAAGTATACTGGACAGACTAGACAGTCATAATTAGAATCCTAGATTTTAATGGATTGTATAGTAGGCGGTAAAAACACATCTTCACACTGCTCAGAACATCTACGGTGATTGCGAAAAATTGTTCTATATATAGAAGCCGCCGCAATCTCCCAAGTTTGGGGAAATTTTGGGGTTGTGGTGCCATTTTTACAGACTTGAGAGACTGTGGCGGCTTCCCTAAAATTCCTCTTTGATCTTGGTCAAAGTCTTTTAACTTTAGGGATCTCCCTGAGCTCCCATGGGAGCCCAGAGTTGCAACTTCGGGAAAATTTTGTGGAGCTTTGCGTAAATGGCACAAAAACACAAAAAATTCCTCAAACCTGGGGAAATTCCCCCTGGATTTTGGGTTTTCCCATAATTTTCAAAGTTTAGGGAAATTTTGGAGAACTTCTGGGAAGCCTCCAGAGTCAAATCACCTTCACCAAAGTTTAGGGAAAAACCCTAAATTAGGGGGAACTTCGAGGATTTCCCCAGAACTCCAAAGTTTACTATAGTGGCTTCCCCAAAATCGGGAGCTCGAGATGTAGTAGAAATAAATATTTTATGAGGAAACTGGGAAATCATCTTTTGTGTCTCATGAGCAAAAATCATGGATACGGAGCACTTTTGCTTTAACGCTGACAACAGTTCGTGGTTAGAAACTTAACCTCAGATCCTTATTCTCTGCTCCAACAAGGAACCATGTGGGGACTTAAAAATTGTCCGGATTCTTTTAAAGATTCTAGAATGTGAGGGGTTTATGTCTTTCTTCCAATTTACTGCCATGGCAGAGTAACCTTTTAGAGAAAGTAGTTGGTTTGATAAATATATAAAATCACGTTGCAACATCCATTTGCAAATGTTTTCCGATTATCTAGCAAGTAGCTGGTGTTTCGTCGGGGTTCTCAGCTTTTCCATGAAGTATACTTCTGCCAAGTATGCCATTGACAAGCTTGATAAACAACTGAGTTATCCCCATAGATTTCTTTTTACCTTTAACAACTTCCAGCTGAGGAGAAAAGCTCTCATTTTTCACCAACTGTGGTTATTTGGTGTCCACTAAAATTTTTCACAATATGTACAGATTCTCCACATTTATCCCTGGGTCTTTCTCTGGATACATAGGTTTCTCGGAGTTTCCACACTTAGTAAACTATGTGCGTACGTTTATCCAAAATCTAACCGATTTCGCGTACATCTCTGGAAATTCACGTCAAAAGTTTTAGAATAGAAGAAACAGAAAACCCGGATTTTGAACAAATTTCAGCGAACACTTCCACAAGTACGAACTTTTGCCGAAATTTCGGCTAGTAATACATTTGAAACTTATCAAGATATCCCATTAAGGAAAAATTTCATGAATTTTTTTTGATACAATACCATTGTGCTTACTTTAGGTCTTTTACACCCAAAACTAGAGCTTATTTTTGCCCATGATTTCTATATAATCCACGTTTTCTTGGAAAACTCCACCCTTATGCAAACTTGGTTGTCTACTAGATACTCCAGTAAACAGGTGTTGCTTATAATGCATTTTATGTTCAAGAATACTTCCAATACTTTACCTAATCAAACCAATTATGCGCCACACAAAACAATGAGAATGGAAGGAGAAAAAAAAAGAAAAACAATAACGACCAGATTAGTGTAAGGCAGTGAGACAATAATAATTATAATAATAATGAGGGAAACAGAAAGGTGCAACCAGAAGAACTCTTCCAGTTAAGGAAGATACAACCACTTTTTATGATGAAAGTAAAAGGTTACAGCAGGATCGCCACTGGCTTCTATTCTGAGACATATCTGATCATGTCTCTAGCCACTGTGTTACACCATCTCTCAGACCCCAGCCAAGGAGTCGAGAAGGACCAACAAAAGCCAGCCCTTTGCAGCTTTCTTTCATAACACGACACCATGTCATACACTGATCACTTCTCCGCTTTTTCCAACCAGTCCCAGTGTCGGCAAATAATGCACGACGTGGAATTCTCTGGGAAGACATTCGTAGGACATGTCCTACACACCGAAGTCGATGTTTCAAGATGGTGACAACAATTGGATTATCGTCTCTGTGCCCGAACACACGATGCCGAACCTCTGCATTACTAACATGGTGTTGCCACTGGATGTCAACAATCCTTCGGAGACAACGATGATCAAACATAGAGAGTTGTCTAACATCCTCAACTCGGAGAGGCCAGGTTTCACAGGCATAGCGCAAAACTGCTCTCACCTACGCGTTGTAGATTCGATCACATACAGCCAGACTGACATTGCGAAGGCGCCAAAGGTGACCCAAATTGGCGTAAGCCGCTCTGGCTTTCACTATACGTGAATTGATCTCATCACTCACGCCACTACCTAGATACACGAACTTCTCGACTACTTCTATCTGCTCACCATCCAGGGTTAGTACAGGATTAGAATCCTGGCAATCTTGTAGAAGTACTTTGCACTTCGAAGGTCCAAAGCGTACTTACGGACAAGGTAACGTAACTTTCGAAAACCCAGAAGGATCGTAGATAACTCTAACTGGTAGAAGTTGCCATGATCTAAAACTGTGAAACAATATGTCGCCTCACCATATTAAACTATTTCCTATTGGTAACTACTTGGGAAGTGATGTTAGTAAATTCGAGTAAATATATATAAAAAAGGAATAGTAACGATAATATCATGTACGTATTGAGATACTAAGTACGTTTATTATGGGAATCCACATTTGACAGAAACATTAACTAGTGGAATATATTTATATAAGATATGGAAATTATTTCTAAAAAAGACCACTTGTATTGTGTCTACCAACTTGAAGATTGTAATTGGTTTGATTAGGTAAAGTATTGGAAGTATTCTTGAACATAAAATGCATTATAAGCAACACCTGTTTACTGGAGTATCTAGTAGACAACCAAGTTTGCATAAGGGTGGAGTTTTCCAAGAAAACGTGGATTATATAGAAATCATGGGCAAAAATAAGCTCTAGTTTTGGGTGTAAAAGACCTAAAGTAAGCACAATGGTATTGTATCAAAAAAAATTCATGAAATTTTTCCTTAATGGGATATCTTGATAAGTTTCAAATGTATTACTAGCCGAAAGTTCGTACTTGGAAATTTTCAGTAAAATACATAGGTTCATGAGAACTTTGGTGTATCTCTGTGGCTACTTTTTAGACCACTCTTGGTGGTTTTCGGAAGTTGGAGAAAAACATCTAGATAGGTGTAATAAATATTTGACCTTTGTGATTATTAAGTCGCTCCACATCACCATGGTCTTTAAAAATTTCTCTCTCGTCGACAGACTTTCACAAGGTGGTACCTATAAGTCTATCCCTTTTAAGGTGGTTTGTTGGTAACAAATTACTAGACAGTATCAATGGTACATTTTCGAACAGGATTATTGAAGTCGCGTGTCACAGGATTGAGATTAAGCTTAGCATATTCAAACGTGCCTACTGAGTTTGGGTTGCCGTTGGTATCATATTTACGCCCTTTACTCACGGCTGTACCATACTCATTAAACACACTGCTTCTAAGTCTATTAACTATCGGTAAAAGGTCTATTGAGAATGGCCTATTAAGCTCTAAAATTTACCAACAGACACCAATAAATCCTGTATCAGTCTATTGTACATCAATTCCTCGTAAGTTATGAACGCAGGTAGCAAATACTTGTTAAAGACCGGTCAGCAGTGTAAATCGTAGGACTCAATAATCTTCACAAATACCCCACGCTAATAGCAATAATGATCCTATCCGTGGTATTTTATTAACAAAACATGTAATTACCTTCATATATTTGATACGATACTGAATGTTTTAAATGTTTTTCTGTAAACGTAGTTATGTTGTACTGAAACTTGGTGGCGACGCATTACATAATCAGTTTTATGTCATCTGAGATACAAGATGGATTGTTTCATTGCAGTGTATGTGATTTGAAAATCAGGTATGACTACAAAGGTGATAAGCCTCCATTCTTTAAAAAGGATGTAAAGTAACTAGGTATCCTAGCGTTATAGTGATAGCTTCAGGCTTCTAGAAAGTGTATATTGTATTCGTGATCCGTTTGCTGACGATAATCTGGGTGGGATTATACTAGGTGGTGACTGCAGTGTGTGTGGGAGAAGTGTTTGTGTTTCTCAAGTATGTCGTATTCAGTTTATTTTATGAGATTCAGAATTGTTCTACATACAACGTGAGAAGATACTGCCCTTGTTGTGCGAAAGATGAACATGGCAGCAGTTGATAATACGGTTTGTATGGATTATTAGAGCGATAATTATTCCTGCACACATGAATGCTTTTTCAGTGTTAATTATTTTTTGTGAGTACTTGTTGTGCCAATTATTGTGTTCAGTTGTTAAAATAATAAACACAGGGAGCTACATTTAATTTAGTGTTTTTAATTTTTTGGACGTTCGAAATATGTAGTTAATGATGAGTTAGTTCACTTATTGTTATATTCCGGCGAGAATTGTAACTTTTGAGAACTATTCATGGACAAATATTATATGTATATCCTTAATATATAACTATTCAGTAGCCAGATTATGTATATCCATACTCCTCTTATTACAAGCTTTACTTCGACCTATAAACTATCATTATACGATTTACCGTTCTTGAGTTATGCCTAGTCTATTAATTTCAGTCTCCCACATTCACAGCTACTTTTGGCCAAGATCTTGTACAAATGTTATTTTCTTTTTTATGTTACGATGTTGTCTTTTTGGTTTATGTATAAACGCAATATGTTTGAAGTACATGACTCATATCACAGAGACTGAGATTGGTGTTCTGAACTCAACAGGCAGGGCTAGGTAGGAAGAAGTGACAGATAAAGATTCTAGATAGCTCTTACGAGTTTTATGTGTCATTGGTCCGGTTGATAAATCACTGTTCTCTAAGTGATGATATCATTAAGTCATATATTGATAGGGGCACAAGTTATAATAAATTTCAATAACATTCGACACAATCAACAGATTGATAAATATTATGCGATCACGAATGGCTAATTTATAGAGAAAATATGCAGAGTTCTGGTAGTAAGGTGTAACACTGATTGTTGCATAATGGGTCAAAATTAAACATGAAAAGATATGATATCGACTGAATCGTTTGAACTTTTTACTAGTCACATTGTTTATCGGAAGGAAATTAAAAGTTTAACTTTTGTATGAAAAAACCGTAAACGAGCATATAAGATGTTTTAAATATCCAAAGGACACTGAACATATTCGAGGTGTTATTAGGCAGTACAAAATAAAACAAGTGTAATAGTACGCATGATAATCAAGTGGTTGTTAATTGCAGTTTATTGAAAAAAAGCACACGATAAACACATAAAACACTTTTCACAACACAACTTTATATCTCGTAATCAATACTTTTTTTTTATCTATGCAAAAAACAGATAAATAAGTATCAAAGAGCTCATTTAAACGTAAAGAGAATTAAATGAATTAATTAAAGTATTTATGATGTATATAATAGGCGATTTTCAAATAATTAAGTGTTTTGGTTAGCTGAAGGCACCGACTTTTTTTCGATAAAGCTTCAATTGATCAACATACATGCCTGTATTAGCGTATTCATACAGACAATGGATCATTTTAGTTGGAAGAAGTCTGGAAGTCAATGAATAGAAATAACAATAATAGGTTGTATGGTGTAACCTATTTATGTCTACATTAATAATGATTCAGTTTATTTTTTTAAGAAAATGCAATTCAGTTTTGATTGCCTGTAATAATGTTAAGACTATTCAAGGATCAATTAACTTGACCTAAAAATTATTCTGATTATTGAAATAAAAATCAGACAATTTACGTAAATGAAAATGTTTGATATTTTCTAACAGATTTTACAATTAAGGATGGAAAATGACGCTGATCGGTTGAGGTTAGATATGAAAATTACCGAATGCCGGGCCAACGATCTAAAGGTAAAGCTCTCATAACAAAACCCGGAGTTTTTGAGTTTGATCCTCAGTGAAGGTGTAGTTGTATACTGTAAAAGTCTCTTAATAAGACGAAACAACTGTTCAGTGCTTCCCGACTTTCAAGGATTGCCTTAGGTGATTTCAATAACATTTGAACTATTATGATTAGTAGATCAGAGATAGATTGGTGAGTTTCAGGTTAAAACAGTCAACTTTACATTCGTAAGCGTCCAGTGGAGCAGTGGTTTAATTGTTAAGGCGTTAAGCTATTAACTATTAGGTACCATAAGTAAACATGTGTTCATTCATATGCACCGAAGAGCCTGGTACATATGTGGATTGGTCCAAGTTACCGCACCACAGCAAAATGTCAGAGTAGTGGATAGAATTAGTGCCAGAATCAGTGGTAGTAAAAAACACTAAGCATAGACTGTATGATTCGATATAATATGAATTCGTAGAATAAGAAGGAATTTGAAAACTCAGGATCTAAGAGAAAAATAATAAATGCATCCGTGCAGTTACGAACAATTGTGAACCAATGTTGCTTTACGTCTTTCCAATCATTGGCTACATCGTTTGCACGGACACTAACATCTACCAAAACGACCCATTCTAACTGTTAATGAACTGATGGTGCGTTTTGTTTTTCCACCTCTAACATCCTTAAGGTCTACTCCCACACTGAAAATTTGACGTCGAAGTACCCAGCGGCTTGATATATGTAGTAAATGTCTCATTCGACGAAGGCTTACTACATCAAACAGTTAAAAGTGCAGTATACCTATTTTTCATGGATTTTACTTTCTATGATATTTTGAAATATGACAAGATGAACCGGTGCATATCTGTGTGAAAATCCATATTTTATATCTGAAAATTTAAGAGTACCAATTAATTCAGTTGTTCAAGTATTAAGAAGTGAAATCGAAAGTCTCTATCGTTGCAGTAGGTTTTGGGCGTCGGACTACAAACTATCATCAACCTTACTTAGTTGAGAAGATTATGATTCTAAATGACACTAGAACCAGAAGCTACCAATCACATGAATTTATTCAACCCCTATTTTTAAGAATATGTTACTCGATATTTATGAAAGTTTGAAACCTCACCGACTACTTTAGCTTTTCTGGTTAATTACTATCAACTAAAATGATACGCAGGTCAATAAACTACTAGATGAGTCGGGCAAAAACTAATATAAATGGACTGAAATGGCATTGATTATTAAGTTATACGATAATTTGTGTATAGTGCGAAAAAAGCGCCATTAAATGTGGGTCAGTACGTTTCTGAAATTACCTCTGAATTGATTTATGAATTAACGTATATTTATGATAGCATTTGGTATAAGGAACCACTAAAAGAACGGCATTTACAAGATTTTCTGGACATATCACAAGAGCGGTCACCAGGCACTTAATGGACAGCGGACATAATGTAAATATAACATAGATGCCTAGAATAACTGACAACGAAATATGACGAGTTCGTTTTATTCAGTAAATCTAGTTGTTAATTTTTAATTAAGTCTATCAAGTGATCATGATATATGGGGAAAAATGGATACTTACATTTGTAAGATGGGCAGTATACGATATCGGGCCGATACATAAACAACTCGTTCATTTAAACGTACAGATTGAACGATTCGACTTGCACAATAGCTAGCATCCACAGTAGGGAAGAGCAAAGGATGTCTGTAATATAATAGGATAATAATTGTAATAATACGCATGGCAATCAAAAAAGTCATATTTACACTTAATATTCGAGATGTGCTTATTACAATAAGTTAGATCAAGTTATCTCTTCACTGAAATGTCAAGCGTCTGGTTATTTATTTATTTTAACACATAAGTATAGGTACAGGGAGGCACCAAATACATATGCGCCACACAAATCTCAATTGATTTGTGTGAGGGCTGTGATACTGCCCGGGTGCCAAAACCGAAGCAGGTGGTTTTCTTAGGGGGCCACACCCCGAGCCTTTGACCTGAACGTCTGACCCACAAGGCAGTGGAGCATCGTGAGGAGTTGCAGTCCCATGGTAGCCGGTGACCAACGATTGGTTCATACGCCATTTGTTCCCGCAGGATACTGGAGCCCATGTGCACCATTGGTTTGGGGTCCGGTTAAAGCGCCAGACATTCGCTTTTCGTCCTCTCATTTTTGTAAACAACACCCCCGCCACGAGAAGGCAGTGTTTGGTAAAAATAGTGGGATTATTCGGTTAGTGTTTAGTTGATCAACCATTTCATTTTACACGTACGATTTACTACGGAAAGATACCCACTCTTTATCCTCTCTTAAATCCTAATTCCTTAGGTTATTTTATGAAGTTTTTTAAAATTCTACTCCATGACTGTTACTACCTTCTACTACTCTGAAATTTGTCTTGACGAGAGTCCTAGTAAGTCACAACTGGTCCAATTTAGCCATATTGAAAGTAGGATATTTGGCCAATGTAGGATTGGATGATTATTGTGCCATATTCGGAATCGATTTAGGTTCGAAGTGTGGACGACTGAATCCCAACTCAGTGATCCAAAGGTTTAATGTTTGACTCGAAATTCAAATGTCTCGGGCTGTTTGTGTTACTTAGAAGTCTCAAACGAACGAAAAAACTACCTAGTGCCCCCTAACTTATGTTAATCTAGGATAGGGGTTACCTATAAATAAAATCAGTAATAAACAAAAGGACTTACTTGGGTTTAACACCCTTAAACATATCTGTATTAAGTAGAAAAGGTAATACACGTGTAACACGAATTTCATCATCCACACCCAACTTAAGCAGCTCCAATTCTAATGATTCAGAAAATAATAGAGCTGCAGCTTTAGATGCACAATAGTCTGCACCACCAGCTAAAGGTACCCGACCAGCTATTGATGAAATACAAACAACGTGTCCTCTGGGATGACGAAATTTGACTGGAATACCAGAACTTGAATTCTCATCTATTTTGTTAATCATAGATGGTAAGAATGCTTGAATTAACTTTTCAAAAAAGGATACAAAAGAAAAGACATAATAAAGATAAATGTATTGGAAGTAATTAAGTGATTTATTTTTCAAAATAACTAGCTATCTGTAATTAGCTTCCTGCCGAAATAATGTGATTTACTGTGATAAGTTACTTTATAATAAAACTATTTTCAATGAGTCGAAAATAAAAAAATCACTTCATAATAAGTCTACTATTAGCCATACTTTAAGTAATAATAAATATACTTTTGTGTATTCCTAATGAGCAGAAAACGCGTGTTTCTGATATTTCGTGACTTAATTTAAGTCACTTTTTCAGAAATTTCGATTATTTATCTACTCTAAAGAAATAACTGATATTTAGTCACGAAGCGTCAGAAACCCAATTTTCTATTCATTAAGATATCACAAAAATATATTTATTATTAACTTTCTACTCAATGCTCAATTTATTTGAAACTACCAAGTCCAACCTTGACATTGATGCCCACATACTTTATTCATAAGTGATCATAACAAAGTAAGACGAAAAATTATTAAACTCCAAGATGAATACATTCCAAATATGGAATGATTAGGGGTTCAATTTAGAAAAATATTTTACTAGTTTACAACTGCCAGAACATCACATCGAAATAATGGTTGTTATTGTCAGTATATTAGGAACACAATCTGTGAATTACCGAAAAGAAACTTACATAGAAATGTGACAAGACATTGACTCGGAAACAATCTTCTATGGAATCCTGTGTTAGGTCAGTGATAAAATCTGCATTCATGACACCCGCATTATTCACTAAAACAGTAACTTTTCCAAATTCTTTCAAAACGTTTGTCGATAGTTCATCAATAGCTTTTTTGTGTCTATTAAAACAAAAAGATTATTTAAATTGGTTATTTTTAGAAGACAATTCTTACCTTAAATCGCATACATAAACTTTAATTTGAATGTTAGTTTCCTTATGAACCAAGTTGGATGTTTCTAATAGGCTCTTCTCATTCTTATCAACAGCTATTATGTTTGGACAAAATTTCGCAAACTCCAAACACATGAGCCTGCCAATACCGTTTCCTGCACCTGGAGAATTGAAGAAAATTAAGGTATTATGTTATACAATAATAGTTACCAGTGACAAGTATAACGTCCGATGAAAGATCCTTATAAACTGGACTGATTGTTTGCAAAATGTAGCTGGCAACTTCACGAAAATAGCACCAGAGGAGTTTGAAAATAAACACAATATGTTCAATAGCGAGTTCCAAGTATGGCGTTCGGTGTTCGCACTGAATCATTTTGATTACCTAAACGAAAAAAAGGTCGCCTTATAGATGTAAGAATGAATCAAAAGAAATACACACATTTTTGGCACAAATGATTGCAGATCTGCAATTATGTTTAGAATTACAGTTTAGGTCCTGGCCGTTGTTGCTACCTTGACGAGATGGTCAGGTTTGCCTGTCGTGATGAACTAATCGGCCATAATGGCTGGGACAATCGTTACTCAAAGTCCTACCATGCCAGATAGATCTGTTGAGCGGTAAGGCCAAAAGCAGAGAACCCAAAGTCCAAAGGCGAATTCGTACTGCTGACTATACAAAGGTGTGACGGCAGTAAAGTATTTCCCTCAGACAACCAGCGTGGCAATGGTGCTGCCTTCCCACATAGGAAGGGTGGGGTTAGAAAAACGTCAACCGAAGAGCACACACCTCACCTCGTCCTACGGATTTTCGTATTCAGAGGTAAAGTCTCAACAAATACGGATCTAACACGAAAATTACTCACAAAAAGGTCGTGTGTGACCGACATCGGACAGATGTCCCTTGGGCACTGCGGTCACACTCTCAGGTGAATAAGACCACTTCTAACCCAATTTCCTTTTCAAGTATCTCTAGAAGAACCCTCCCATGCTGTGGGCGACCAAGTGATAGCCGCCTCACTAGACACAGAGAAATCAAATAAAGGAGACCTATTAGAGTTAAACTCAGCGATGAGAAAACCAAAGGTAAATTCCAGGAACAACTGAAGTCACACTGGGGCAATTTTGAAAACGAGGCTGACCCAAATGTTACTTGGAAAGATATACAAACAGCTGTGGGAACAGCAGCGATATCTATTGGCGATTTGAACTAAAGAGCCACGAAAACAAGTGGATTTCTGCAACATCTATTTTACCGATAAACTCTTGTAAACTTATCCTATCAGGCTTCGAACACGATGAAGAGCGAAAGCAAATCAAAAGAGATGAAAACAATAGCGGCTGTAAGTAACACCAGAAAGAAATCGGAATTAAGAAGTCAAGTGTGAGACGACCTCAGAAAAAGATGACTAATCGTAATCACTGATTGTCTCAATATATAAGAAGGGGTAAAAATCATACTGTGATAACCATAGAGAGATTGGTTTGACTATTATAACGTCTGAAACACTAGCCTCAATTTTTGGAAGCCTAACAAAGACTCGTGAACCACAAACACGAGAAGACCAGGCTGGCTTCAGACCTGGTTGTGACTGCATCGAACACATATTCACCATTCCTAAAATGTTGGGACGCAGACATGCTTATCGGCGTCCAACAATGGTGGTTTAACATGACTTGAAAGCTGCATTTGACTCTGTAGACCAAGAGGTTCTGTGACAGTGTCTGTCATTGAAAGGCGTACCTCAGAAGTACATAAACATTGCGAAGGCTCTTTACTCGAACACTACCAGTAGAGTTAGGCTGTTTCTATCTCCATTTCTGTTTAACATCATCACACGGTTAGTGCTGCAAATAGCTTTCTCGTCGTCTGCATTATCGGGCATTGATCTCCTTCCAAGAAGGCAGACGACATGGTCCTGTTTGGTAAAGACACTGATGAAATGCAGAGTTTTTTGATAGCACCGAGCGAAAATGCCAAGATGTTTGAGATGCGCTTCTCCCCCTCTAAATGAAAATTGTTGCTTCAGAACTGGCCTGCGTCAATACCTGAACTAAGGATAGGGGGTGAAGTAGTCGAATGCGTCAGCAACTCCAGTTATCTTGGGAGTCTGATTAGCCCTAATGGGTTGGTATCTGATGAAATCTCAGCACGGAATCGAAAAGCTCATTCGGCTCTTGCCAACTTACGTCACCTATGGCAAAGGCGAGATATCCGTTTATCAATTAAGGGACGAGTATACTACACAGCAGTTCGTCCTGATTTACTTTACGGCTGTAAAACGTAGTCATTGAAGGTAGAAGATACTCGTAAACTACTAGTATTTGATCACGAATGTCTTAGAAATGTTGTTCGCATCTGCTGAGATCGTCGGGTAAGTAATAGTGAGGTTAGACGGATTTATTTATTTATTATATTATTTCAACACATAAATATTGGTACAAGAGGGCACCAAATATATATGCGCCACACAAAACAATGAGAATGGAAGGAGAAAAAAAAAGAAAAACAATAACGACCAGATTAGTGTAAGGCAGTGAGACAATAATAATTATAATAATAATGAGGGAAACAGAAAGGTGCAACCAGAAGAACTCTTCCAGTTAAGGAAGATACAACCACTTTTTATGATGAAAGTAAAAGGTTACAGCAGGATCGCCACTGGCTTCTATTCTGAGACATATCTGATCATGTCTCTAGCCACTGTGTTACACCATCTCTCAGACCCCAGCCAAGGAGTCGAGAAGGACCAACAAAAGCCAGCCCTTTGCAGCTTTCTTTCATAACACGACACCATGTCATACACTGATCACTTCTCCGCTTTTTCCAACCAGTCCCAGTGTCGGCAAATAATGCACGACGTGGAATTCTCTGGGAAGACATTCGTAGGACATGTCCTACACACCGAAGTCGATGTTTCAAGATGGTGACAACAATTGGATTATCGTCTCTGTGCCCGAACACACGATGCCGAACCTCTGCATTACTAACATGGTGTTGCCACTGGATGTCAACAATCCTTCGGAGACAACGATGATCAAACATAGAGAGTTGTCTAACATCCTCAACTCGGAGAGGCCAGGTTTCACAGGCATAGCGCAAAACTGCTCTCACCTACGCGTTGTAGATTCGATCACATACAGCCAGACTGACATTACGAAGGCGCCAAAGGTGACCCAGATTGGCGTAAGCCGCTCTGGCTTTCACTATACGTGCATCGATCTCATCTATACTTTTCGGTGGGACAGTAGCTAGCCTAGAAGCTAGCTCGGTTTGATACTTAGTTGCAACAGAAGCTGCAATCAGTTTACTGACATCAATCCGTTTAGGACGATGAATTCGTTGGCCACTGGAAAGCAAAGTAATATTGGCGCAAACAATGGCATGATCGGAGTCCAGATAGGTACTTTAAAAGAAGTGGCAGTCTGGTACACAACCACGTTAGTGGTAGCTGATCGCGATGTGATCAATCTGAGTCCAGGCTTGAGATGCAGAAGGGGGATGCCAGGTGGCACATCGGCGATGACTGTGCCGAAAGTTAGTGCTAGCCAGAAACAGGTTGTGGTCCGTGCACAGTTGCAGTAGACGGTCCCCGTTATCTGACCTGCGACCAACAAGTCCCCATCGGCCACCTAAACGACTCTCTTCTGTGCCTAGACACCCGACCTGAGCATTCAAGTCTCCGGCTAGTACTACAATATCTGTCGAACGCACTTTATGGAGAAGAACAGTTAACTGATGGTAGAATTCATCCTTGATTACATCCGGGCTGCAATCTGTCGGGGCATAGGCGGAGATGACGAAAAGACATCGTTTCTCATGCCGATTTCTTCTCACTTTGATGGAACTTTCTAATCTAACAGCACATAACCGACTGTTAATATGGATCTAATCGACTAGTGCTGTTTCAGCTCTCGAGCTTAATGAGACACTAACGCCAGCAAGACCAGACGAAGATGCCGCAGGGTCTCCGGATAAACGCATGTAAAACAAGCTTTTTGAAGCGACAGATGGAGAGCGAATTTGTAGTACTTCACCAGAGTCTTGAATATGGGTCTCGGATAGGCTTTTCGAAGACATATTCAGCCCTACCTGTTGTCCAACCTGCATAAGTGTGTGAACGTTGAAGGCAGCCAGTTTGAATGGTGCACGTGGTTTCAGAAAAACCGCTTTAGTAATCGTATTTGGTGGTAGCATACAATTTTCAACCAGGCAGTGACTCGAGAACGTTTCAATAGAACCGAGTTTCCACCATAGGTGAGCTGCTGTATAAGTCGAAAAATAAAGATACACAGAGTGGGAATAAAAGCGAGCGAATAAATGACGTGGCAAATAATAATAATAATGTGAACTGTTTGACTGTTAATCGAAGCGTGAATAGAATTTCCAGTAAATATCGTTATTTTCATTTTATTTGTGTGTGGGCTGTGGTACTGTCAGGGTGCCCAAACCGAAGCAAGTGATTTTCTTAGGGGGCCACACCCCGAGCCTTTGATCTAAAGGTCTGACCCAAAAGGCAGTGGAGCATCGTGGAGATGCAGTCCCATGGTAGCTGGTGACCAACGATTGGTTCATATGCCATTTGTTCCCTCAAGATTCTGGAGCCAGTGTGCACCACTGGTTTGAAACCCAGTTAAAGCGCCGGTAATTCGCTTTTCGTCCTCTCATTTTCGTAAACAACACCCCCGCCACGAGAAAGCAGTGAGTAGGACTTCCCTGGCAGGGGCTGTATACGCGTGGCCATATGAGAGCATTTCGAGAGGGGGAGCGGACTCCCCCCACTCTCGGCCGTACCAGGGCATTTGGGAGATTAAAATTGCTTTATATATTTCTTTCTACGAACTAATTATTTCTTCCTGTACTATATTCTTATACAAAATCTTTCTTTTACACATTACTATCATTGAAGTGACTACTTCTATCAATTCAGTGCTCATCTTGTTGTACTAATGAGGTGTGATAACGTGTACCGATGCCTGGCCCTACGTTGTAAATGACTGACTGACTTTCAGTTTAGGTCACAGCTTATATCTAATGTACTTAGGTTAAGTTATTATCTTGTTTCTGAAGCATCAATAGGTGAGAAGGGATTCGAATACAATTCAAGTGATTACAAATCTTTCCGTCACAATCACAAATCTATAAGCCTGGAAACGACAACAAACTAAGAAATGTCCTTTTTATGTTGACGATTTGGATAGCAAATTGATAAAATTACGAAATATGATCTTATTGAATGTGTAACTCTTTCGGAAGAAAAGTAAGAAGACACAACGTAAGTATGTATTATTTAATCATGTAATCTTGTGACAAAAATAATAAAAGTGATATAATATAGTTTTCAAGAACGCAAATACAACTGAAATATAGAATTCATACAGGCAACCATAGTAAATATAAATACACAATCTCCCGATTTTGGGGATATTTTCTCGGTTTTGGGGATATCACACAAAAACCTCAAAATGTCCCCAAGTCCAGGTAGAACTACGAATTTTCAAACCACTTTGACGAAGATTTCAAGATTTCGTTAAAACCGGGGGACTGGGTAGAACAAGATAATTTCAGGGAGGTGGAAGAATAAAACTGTGAGAAGCTCGAAGTATTGGTTCAAAATTACACATATATGGACTGACTCACTTACATGTCAACAGGAGAACAGAGATAAGATTATCTCCATTGTTCATTATATATGATTATTTTTGTATCGTATGTTACAAGTCATCCCAAAAGTTGTATTTAAAAAGGAAAATTTGTAACCGGAAAATAATGCATGAACCTACCTTAAATGACTAAGAAACAATTCGAAAGAAAAAGTTCAAAATACTTATTGCAAAGTAGGTAGCAGTTAATCCTCACGTCTTGGCACTTCAAATCAAGAGGTAAATCATTTATCGTTTAGGTTAATCAGTTGACGATTTCAAACAAAATCAGTGAGACAGATGTCGCTCACATATTATTTTTGAATTGAAATCTGAATAATGGATTTCGAGAACTATGTGATGAGTATTCTTCTCGAAACAATGGTTGCTTGGAAACCTGAAAGAACAAAAATATTATTTACTTAGACCCGAAACATTAGATGATCAAGTTATCAAGAAATTCCCTGAAAAAAAAATCGCTGGACACTAATATAACATATTCTTTAGTGCAATATGTGGAAAAAGCAACTAGGTACCACCCGAACACTAAGACATGTTTACTGGATCTCATAATGTCTCACTTTTAAGATGACGTTACAAACCTCGATTGTACATCACTACTACGTAATGATAACCATCCACTTTTAGTCTTTTAGATCCACATCGCTGTAAAAAATGTGTCAGTTCAAACCAGATCAAATGTTTGGAAAGCAAATATTCAAGTAATTAAACAGTCAGTGTCTTCAGTGAATTTCATAGTAGACTCGCAATCTCCCGACGTAACATCTTCGGAGGCATCCTAAAAGTATTTACACAAAAGTTACAGCGCCAAATGTTTCCTGAACCACGCCAAAAAAACTCCGCATCATGTTTTAGTAAGGAAGTTAGCACCCTCCAGCGTAAGCGAAAAAGAATATCAGTTTGGTTTGCGTTACGGAGTACTATTGAGACTAAATTTCAATATCGGGATGCTCGAAACACTCGTGCCTCAACCCTCCGCAAGTCTAGAATGTTGTATAAAAAGGCTTGTTAAAGGGTTTACATTATACCTAAAACACATACTAGTACATAAACCGAAGAACTAGGATAGTCGGAATCTCAGAGTTATGGGGAGATAGTAGTAGATCATTCGTGAAAGATGATTATAATAAAGCACAGCTATTCTTTAACTACTTTAGCAATATATACACTGTAGAGATATGCACCTATGGTCTATACAAATACCTCCATACACACTCTGGACGCAGTGGCCACCAAAGAAACTGGTGTATTTGATCAATTAAATAAGCTTTCAATAGGTTAATTCATGGGGTTCAGCAACAAATCTTATCTCAAATCCATTGCGGATATGTTTTAGTTTGTCTATAACCCAAGTTAGATTACCGTAATATTGAAAGAACGCCATTGTAAGATCTACCTTCAAAAAAGTACGAAATACAGCACTTAGAATTATCAACTCGTTGGTCTACCTCCCGTGTTTGTAAAAATTTTGAAAAAGATGATTCGGAATCGGTTGTTCAGATACCTAGACGAAAACCGGATCCTTTCTAAAAAGTAGCACGGCTATAGAGCAGATTATTCATGTCTCACAAACTTTTTAGTATCTAGTGGAAGTTTATGTGCCCTTAAATATCAAAAGTTACTTATGGGTGTGCTCTTCAACTACCTCATGAAGGCTTTTAGCGTTGTCCCAAAAAACCGGGTTTTATCTAAGTTAAATAACATCAGGATTAGATGTAACTTATTTATGCAAATAAAAGGCCTCCAAGTTGGGTATGAACAAATAGTGTGAATGACCTGCAAGTTGTCAATCTGGGAAACTTTTAAT